ATTCTTGTTGACGGAGGTAATGGTGATATGTCCAATTTGGAAAATTTATTGAAGAATTTTATAAAAGAATCACCAGCCGAATTAGATAGTTGGTGCTTATTAACTATCTCCATAAATTCACGATAAGCTTCGTTGGGCCATTTAATAGTTGGTAGATTTTGCAAGTCATCAAAAGCATCTTCTAACGAAGCACCCTCATAATCTTCAAGATCACATTCTGCAAAAGAGGATACATTTGCCGAAGGAGAGTCTATTTCCATATCGGAATGAGATGATGCTGATATGTCTTCGTTCTAAATAATATATATCATTATATAACATTTTATTACTGTAAATTCTCGAAATAGCGGGCATGAGCATTATTTTGAATTTTGGCCCGAATTAAGCTTTATTCGGGCTAAAATTTGAAATAACGCTCATGCCTGCTATTTCGAGAATTTACGGTACTTACATCTATTATAAAAATTTACCTCCAAAAATTATAGAATCATTGGAGTCATATTCTGAAGAACTGTATTCTGGAAGCTCCCAAATATTATCATCCAATTCGTCAGCTGAAATGTCTTGATTCGATATTTCTTGGGGATAAGAGTGACTTTGTGAAATATGTTGAATTAATGTGAATAATTTTGAAAAATTTCAATTACAATGCTTACACTGCCAGTGCATTTTTAGAAGATAGGAATAAAGAAAAATAATGAGAGAAAGAGAAAGGATGATTAAAGAAAGCGAAAGAATGTTAGATAATGAAATATAAAAGGAGATTATAAATAGATATGAACGATTATGAGAGAGCTAATAGGAGAAATTATGTATGTTAATGATATATATCGATATATAGCGAAAATAGTGAAAAAAGATGGCAAAAAAATAAAAGTGGGGAGCCAGAACACCGGAACCTAAACAGAATTCTGTTTCTTGGATTTAAAGAAATAAATAAAGAGATGAAATGAAAGAGAAAATGAAAAAAAAGTAAAGCAAAAGAGAAAGAGTAAAGTATGAATTAGTAATATATTGGATTGTAAAAACAAAGTAAGAAATGGTAATAAAAGAATAAAGGATGTAGCAGCGAACAATGATTTAGAGATTTAGAGATTTTAATGACCCTTATCGATTTATATCGATTTTAGCAATTCTTCTCTTCAATTAAAACAAAGCGTATAATTATTTATATGATGTAAAATTATAAACAAAAAGTATATTATGTATATATTATTCGTTATATTTCAAATCGCAGCGAGAAACTCAGCAAATTGTTTTATACATGTAATTATATTTATCGTCATTATATGCAAATGACCAAAACAACAAATAAGATAAGTATACTTTCACTTTTTTTTTTTTTTTTGCTACATAATAATTAATACTCATCTATTTAGATAAATAAATTGTCATTACATGTATGTTTACAAATGAAATTTTTATTTTATTTTTTTTGCTACATAACGATTAACATCATCTCTCTTAGACTCGATAAATTATTACTATACGTATGATGTATTTTTTTTTTTTTTGTTATATAATGACTAAGTTGCATCATCAGTTATCTATTTCTTAAATTTTATAGATATATAAATATAACTCTTTGAGAATCAAAAGGTAAAACATTTTTGAAAATTTTTGAAATAGATAACAACAATACTAATAACATATCACCTTTTGAAAATCTTATCAATAACACTTCGCCCAACTTAACTTCTCCTACCAATACATTTACCAATACAACCCGCTCTTCTACCAATACAACCTGCTCTTCTACCAATACAACTCATTCTCCTACCAATACAACCTATTCTCCTATCATTACAATCCGTTCTCTTATCTCTATTCCTACCAATACAACCCGTTCTACTACCTCTATTCCCACCAATACAACCGTTCTTCTACCTCTATTCCTACCAATACAACCCATTCTCCTACCTCTATTCTTACCAATACAACCTGTTTACAATTGGTGCCTCCAACTCCTGGTTCTCCAAATAGTAACAGTGATTCATCCGATTTATACAAAAGCATTAAAAGTGTACAGAATATATTTGAGAAAATGAAAGAAAAACAAACAAAATCAGGACATACTACCCAAACACATCATTCATCTCTTTAATGACAAACCTCTTACTCTCGACAAGATACTCCATCTCGACAAGATACTTCATCTCGTTCTCCATCTTGTTCTCGATCTATTGATCGTAATCGATCGTAATCACAAGAAAGATTCTGATCACGAGTTCGACAATCTTCCAATCAAAATGAGCCATGCAATCGTGATCGTGATGGTATATAAGTTCCTTTTTTTTTCATTTTTCTTAGATGTCGCATTTTGTGCATTTTTTTTTTTTTTTTTTTTTTTTTGAAAGGAATTTTTTTTTTTTTTTTTTTAAAAAACTGAATTGAAGAACGTTCGAACCAATACCGCCGGTGGGTGGATGAGAAGCTATTTACACAGCACCAGCAGCTATACCGTTTACTTAAAAGAATCAATAAAGATGTATAAGAAATCAAGGCTGAAGTAAAACAGCAGCGACGTGACACTGAAAATGAACTTTCTCAGAAGGTCTTGGACGTGAGTATTCAATATATGTCGATATATATAGATGTAATCAGAACTCTAAGTTGGAATTTCTATAGGAAGCATTTACTGGTGTTGCAAAATGCCTCTTTCCATCTCATGTATATCCCACTCAGGCTGTAGTAAAGGAAACCTTTAAGGCTTACATGGAAGAAATATTCCCAGATTTTATGTCTAACATAAGTTCAAATAACTTCACAAACCATTATCATAGCAATTGGTTGAGTCAGGTAATGTTCTCTTTCTTAATTATGTATTGCTTATCTGTTATGTTCGTTTACAATCGTTTATAATCATTTATAATTTTTAACACATTTATTTACTATAATTTATACTATACAGATAATATTTTTAAATTAAAGCATATATTGTTTGTAATTATAAATAATCGTTTTTAATTAGGAATTATCGTTTTTAATTTATTTCATAGCTCCTGCAAAAGATTAAGAATAATCGCGGTGCTGTCTTGCAAAGCGTTAGGTCTGCGGTTTGGCGTGTTTTTGGGCGTGAAAAGCTGCCTCCCTTAAAAAGTAACGCGGCTGCAGCCGCCATTGTGAGTTGGAAGGAAAGTCAAGCTGTAAGCAATTGCTATCGCATGCTTTTCGAAAAAGATAATAAAGGTACACTTTGGGTGTACACAATCGCAAGAACAGCCTTTTCGGCGGTGGCGGTCCCGACTTTGACAAGCGCACATTGTGCGTTCATGCTTGTGGTATGCGACATCCTGCTAAACCCCCGATTACAAAACGTTCAGTGTACCGAAAGACGTATGAAACGTTGTATTGAAAAATATTTGGTAAGTAATTGTAATGTAGTTTTTATTTATATTAATTTTAATTAATTTTAATGTATTATTATAGCAAGAATTTGAGGGCGATGGTCCCTCACATGATACTGCTGATGCCATGTTAACTGATGGTGAACCTTGCGATGATGAACGATCTGACAAAGCATCACTTCAATATGACCCTGATTCTGACGAAACCCTTCTTCAAAGATCTTCATCAATGCATCTTTCCCAAGAAGAGATGGATGATTTGTTTAATTTCATTTTGTAGCGTTTTATATTTTTTTTAGGTAGTTTTTTTTTTAATGTATATCAAAGATCTTCATCAATGCATTTTTCCCAAGAAGAGATAGATGATTTGTTTGATTTCGCTTTGTAGCGTTTTATGTTTTTTTTAGGTAGTTTTTTTTTTAATGTATATTATATATATTATGTATTGTGCATTGCTTTAATATTACAATAAAAAAATATAATGTATGTAAAAGTAAAATTCTAAATAAAATAGTTACTGCTTTAAACGTTATATTGCTAAAGCGCAATAGTTGGTATAATATTAGTATTAAATTAGCTATCAAATAAATGAATACATATTGAGAAGAATCAAAAATATAGACTAATCGATATATATTGAATTTATATTATAATGGCTATATATCGATATATATTTAAATCGATATAACCCAACAGGGGGGATTGCTATCGATATATATCCAATATAGATATATATCGATATATATCGGTATGTTTTTTTTGCCGATATTCTTGCAAAGTTTCTTGTAATTTCTACATTGTTTGTGTATATTAATTCTATTTTGTCTTATCTTAATTTGATATGCACTATCTAAATCATAAATATAAAGTTGTGTATAATTTGCATTATTATTAGTTGTAAGAAGAAGTAAACTAGATCTGTATCAAAGTTTATTATGAATATAAAAGCTATATGAAGCATGACTATTGAAAACAAATATATCAATTTCTACTTCAAGAGAAGTGAATGTATGTGCTATATTATATTGGCTACAAAATTCTTTATATTGCTTATTATTATTTTCAAAAAGATGCTACAAAAAATATGGTAGTTTATGAAAAAATAAAATTATTACTTTTCTATCACTACAGCATATTCCAAATTTTAGATTAGCTTTAAATGACTTTGCAACATATTTATCTAACCAATGAAGTACACCACAATGAATATACTCTATATTTATATAACTGATATTATGCTGTATATTATTCTGTTGAAATTCAGTAACAATTTCAAAATTTTGTATAATAATGCTCTTTTATTTCGCTTATTTTCTCTTTGTAATTTTTGTGCAATAGATCTTTGATTTATTGTATTATTGGCTTGTTTATATTGTCTTTTTTCTGGTTAAGAAAATGCTCTTTAATTAATTATATCTTCTACATGTTCATGTTTTATTCCATATTGAGACTCATCTTTTTAGTTTTTAATATTATTTAACCTTTCATGCTGTTTTCTTTCCTGTTGTGCAATAAATCTTCTATTTGATTCAGTAAAAAGTAATTGCATTTTATGTTCACGTTTACACCTTTGTAATTGTGCAAAGACCTTTGACTCATAATAGATTGTTTTTTTTTTTTTTAATCTTTAAAGGTGAGGTCATGCCTCTATTTTTATTAAAATCTAATTAAACTTATAATAGATTGTTATTATTGTATAATAAGAAAAAAAATTTTTATTTAATTTGCAAATTTATTAATAAATATAACAGATGTATTAGAGTGTAAAAAATATAAATGGGTGTTGTGCTAATAAACTAACATAGAAGAAATATATATTTGATAAATTTTGAACATATTGTTATACAAACAATTTATATAGGTAATTTAAAATCTAATATATGATTATAGTCTAAAAACCAGCAATTTCATAATTCATTTACCTGTAATAAATTAAACTTAAAGTAGTAATTTGAATTGGTTGAGCTATATTCAATTAATCAACCTATATTAAATAAATTTTGAAAATGATATAAGAAAAGAGTAAAGGGTCTAAAAAGTTTTGAAAACAAGAAAATAAAGCTCTAAGAATTTCTGATTTTAGTATCTTAACTGGTTAGCAATTGGTTGAAAAAATAATTTGGTTTGGTTAACCAATTAAAAAAATTTTTCTCAGTTCAAATCACTAACTTAAGATACCTATATTAATTAGTATAATTTTTTCATTTTAAAAAATCTTTTTTAATCAAATTTTTTTTTTGTAGTCAAGGTTAACCTCTTTGGCTCACTGCTTTTATTAGATACTAGAATCATATGGTGTCCTTTTCAAGGGGTCCCAGACAAGTACATTCTGACGAGAGTATATTCTAGCCATACTTGTGCCTTTTAAGCGCCTAATTAAGTATCTACCTATTACTAGATTCTACACTAGATGTCATACCTGTAACCTACTATTACTTGTGCTACTCAATTAAATCCTCTGATCTGAGTTTTTATGCTAATTCATCTAACCTCACCCAGAACATGCGATATATTAGTCAGTCCAAGTTCCAAGATCATCACAAGTTTATCTCTAGAACTACCAGTATTGCCGATTCATTCTCAAGTACATCACCTGCTAGAGCCATCTGTCACACACTTTTAATATATGATCTAGTCTTTTTCAGATAGATATTACCAGATAGGTTCTATACCTTTATAGGCAGACCATATCACCAATCTCTACTGCAGATAAGTAGCCGGATAGGTTCTAAACCTTTATAGGCAGGCTACACTGTCTAACTACCTGGCCCTTGCAAAGTTTACCCAAATCCTGATACCCTTCCTTCAAGACAACCCAGTACTTTCTTTTTCAATACTCCCTAGCCGGTCTCCCCAGACTACCAATCCAGATGGCCCGAAAAGAACACCAGTCTTTTTCCTGATCAACCCTGTGGTCTGGTTGGTAAAGTAACTTGCTGATACTCTTGTTTTGTCCAGTTTTTCAGCCTTAGATGGAGTCTATTCCAGTAAGCACTGTCGAAAGCTTGTGCTACTTCTCTATTCGAGTCTTGCCAAGTGGGCTTCCCATAGCACCATTCATCAGATTAACATGATCTGATAACTTATTATGAGTTTATACCACCTTACTGGTTTTGTATTCTCTTTGTGCAACTCATACATTACACAAATACCCCAAAATCTTCCTTAGATCAACACAATAGTGCAATGGATATTCTTCCTATATAAGGTATAACCGATGTTACAGGATCTTCTTCCTAAAATATAAAAGAGTTGCCATTACATAAAAGAATTCAATTTTTTGCCATTAGTGGAAATTAAACTTTAGATATACCATTTGGGGAGGTGACAACCCAACCACTTCACTAAGTCACCACACCCATCATTTTTAATTACTTTTTCTACAGAGTTTTTATAAGAATAAAGATAAACATTTAGTAATTGGCAGTGTTTATTTTTTTTTATTTTATTTTTTTTTTAAACCTTCACAATGTCACAAGAAGGCAGATTTTTATTAGGTATTTTAGATAGTACATTCTTGATTACTCTGTCCTGTATCACCCACCACAATCATGCCACCCATAACCTTGTGCTGCTTTATAACCATAGTAGAAGTGTTCTCTGGCTGTTTGTTTTTATCAGTTTTTTCGTAACGTTTTAACTACAGTCGTCCTCCCCTATAATCACACAGTTGGGTATGACCAATTAGGTGATTATAAAGAAGTGTGACTTAGTAAAGGTTACCTCTATATAAGCACACCTTATATTAAAAATAGTTAATGTGATTTAATAGAGGGAAATATATAGTATATTAAATTTTTCCACATATGCACACCGATCTTTGAAGCAAACTTTCGATTCAAATAACTTTAGACTTTCAAACATTGTGAAATTTCTAGTTAAATATACCATTTTAATACTGTAATAAATTTATTTTAGTACATATATACGTAACAGGTAATTAGAGTGGCCTCCAGAAGTTTGACTATTAAAAATCGAATAGAGCCTATTACTTATTTTTCTCTATGCTTGTATATATTAGAATGTTATTATGCTAATTCTATTTTAGTTGTATTGAAGTTTCAAATAAAACACTTAGATCACGAGTTTTGGATTATGTTATATCAGGTTTCGAAGCATGTTAAGAATAGTTTTTGCAGACAGTATTATTTAACTGATCTGCATACCCTAACACCATGATACTGTTCATATTTTTAATCAAATACATATTTATTATTTAAAAATAAGGATTTTCTTGTTAGAGTTTACTTACCTTCTTTCTTCGATAGGTGGATCGTGCCGATTTTGTGTTAAAAGGTGTTCAATTACTCTATTAAAGGTAACTTTTGTGTTTTTTTTGAAGCGATTTTGCCTTTTAATATTGATGCCTGAAACTGATTAACTTTTTATTATTGGGCTTTTTTTTTTCTCACTTCGGTACAATGAACTTTTCAAAAGTATTTTAATATATCGAATACAGTAATTCTTGAATTACGAATGAAAGTTTGTTTTTAAAATATTTTATACTAAGAATTATTTATATAATTATAACACAGATTACTACAATTTTTCTCTCTAATAATATAGATAAAATATATATATGATATAAAATGTATGTATACGTATGTGTATAAAAAAAAAAAAGTTACGATGCATCATAATCTTCCTCATTATTGTTATTTAATGATATAAAAAAATTACTAATTGATACTTGGCGTTTAAATTCTCTATATTTTCAGTTTAACAAAGCTAAGTATTTTTAAAAAATTATAAGGTCTTCAGCTACAAAATCTGTATCAATTTGTTGTTCAAAAAAGCTAATAAATTTATTTAAACCCATTAGCCCTTCTGAAATTGGATTTTCTGATTGTTCATCGTCTAAGTCATCAGGATCTCCATTTTTGTGTTGATTTGCTTCATCTAAAACAATTTCAATAATTTCTGAATCATTAAGCTTTTTCTTGCAAATCACTGAGGTCTAAATAAGTATTTAATTGGCTTCTAATTTCTGGATCTGGATCTTAAGAGGTCAAGTCTATTATCAAGTTGTTGATATCCTCTTCTTGCTGTTCTAACAACATATCCTGACTATTAGTAGCGACTTCTATTTCTTCACAAGAGACTGATGATAGAATTCCAGTCTTCCTCCAGCAATTGACAATTACTTGGTCTTTAACGGCATCCCAAGACTCAGATATGTAGTATATAGTGTCTTTAATATTTAACTTTTTTCTAATTGAAATTGAAATATAATTAACATTAAAACTTCTATTAAAGAATTAAAGAGGCAGATATCAATAGAAATTAAGCAGATTAACATTTTTTTAAAAAAATTAATACATTAATTTTCACAGCTTATATCCGAAGCTATTTTCGTAATTTAATAGTTAAATGAATGATTTAAGCTTTCTTTAACAATTAAATAACGAAATAGCTCTAAAATTTATTAAGATTTGGGCTGTGTAAGTTAAGGTATTAATTTTTGTTAAAAATGTTAATCTGCTTGATTTATATTGATAGTGATTCAAGGTATAAGTTTCTAACTTTTTTAAATCTTTATTGTTTTCAAGTTGCACTAGAATATGACAGATATATTTTTGCTTATATTTAGATTTGAAACTTTTGATAACACCTGCATTCATAGGCTGCAGGTGTGCTGTAGTATTTGGGAGCAAAAATTCAAGTCTAATATTAGTTAGTTATACGTTTGAATAATCAAAAATGATACGTGGTTGACCATAACCACTACCGTAATGACCCTTACTCCCACCAGTACTATGTTTACCATGTTTACTATGATTACTACAATTACTATGACTATTATTTGCACTCTGATTTGTTCGAGTTAATCTTAACCAACCTTGACCTCGACGATTCCCACGTGAAACAGTTGTTACTTCAAGTTTTGAATTATTAGATGCATCTTCAGAATTTGATTCATTTGACTCATGTGTTTGATTGGTATTAGGCTGGTTATGAAAATGTGATGAGACATTATCTACTAACAATAAGACTTGATGATTCTGAAAGCGAAATTTTTGATCCAAATTTATTAATCATTCAGAAAATATGTCATTGCGCATCCATGCCCAAGAATTTGAATGATAAGTAACAGGTAAAGAATCATAGTTATCATTATGAAGTGCATGAGGAGAAATTGAAGACTCAATTACTGATGCTTTAAAATTTTTCAACGGATAGATTCATAAATTTAAACAGCGCAATAACCTTAGAAATTTTAGATTACATAGAGAAGCCAACAGTGCCCACTATCTTCGCTTCTGGAATATAGAGAAAAATTGCAAGAGTTAATTAAAAATTATATGTTAGATAACGTGTTTAACGCGGATGAGACAGGGCTTTTTTACCATATAGCACCAGACCAAACACTTGCTTCCTGATCAAGATCTGGGTTTAAAAAGGTAAATTATAATAAATTTAATGATATTATTACCCATATAATGTAGTAAGTTATTTGGTATATAAAAAAAAAAAAATCAAATTTTAGCTCTAGGGTTAGCTTTAGTATTATAAAAAATATATTTACTATAATATTTGTGGCAAATAACACAGGTCGAATGAAGTCAAATCTGGCTCCAACTGGTATAATGTAATCCTGATATGAACCTTATTTGAAACAGATTTGGCAGAAATAGGTGACCTTTAGGATATTAATCGGGTCCATATAGGCGTTCAATACATATCAGGATGCCAATAGCTCAATTGGTAAATCGATAAAGCTTGCCTAATAGCTTTATTGATTTACCAATTGAGCTATTATCATCTTGATATGTATTGAATGGCTATATAAACCCAATTAATATCCTAAACGTTTTCTATATCTGTTTCAAATGAGGTTCATATCAGGATTACATTATGCCAGTTAGAGTCCGATTTGCCTT